ATTTAATAGCTCAATTACCAAGTGGAAAGGGGTTTTATTGTTATGCAATCTAACCACAGATAGCCCAAGCTGAAATTGAAAAATTCGGGATAAAATCGCATGCGCACTGGAAACAATTCTCAAACTACGATTTGGCTTATGTTAACTGTGACTAATAATGAACGCGACGCAGCAATTCCAGAAATCTCGATATACATCTGATATATATAAGAAAACGTTATATCATACTTTCATTTATATGAATGTACCTTTCCTTTCCGTCGATCGGATAGGCCCGTCTTTCTTTCAGTCGACTTTATTATATGAGGTTTTTGTCACTACCCTTTTTTTTCTGAAGGATAGTTACATCACAAGAATCTAAAATATTATTATGCAAAGTCGTCAAACAAAATGAAATTATTTACATTTTACTGAGATTTCGGTTCTTGTTGTAACTGGATCCTCGTTTGGATTATTCGTAGCCTGACACTCATACGTCCCACGTTGGTGTCTCGTGATGTTGATGAATCTGAGAAATGCTTCACCAACTCCTTCACTGATAATTTTTGGGTTCTTTATAATTCGTACCCACGTTATGTAGGGCATAGGATCTGCAGCTGCTGAACATCGCATGCACAGACTTGATCCTTCATTGATAGGCGTCGATATATTGACAGGAGTAGTAAAGCGGGGACGTTCTGAATACAACAAATTAATCAATCATTAGTTGGGAGTTATTAAAAACAATAGTTTAGTCCAATAAATTAGTGAATACATTCATCATAAAACATTTAAGCACCCTTAAGTATATGCTATTTGGTATGGAATGCAGTCAATTAGTAACGATATATGTCTTAATGGTTTGTCACCTATTTGTTTAGCGTTTAACGTTTTGGTATAAACCAAGGGATGTATATCTTACCTGTAACAACTAGTCTTACTTTACTTCTTATTGGTGATCCCGCTAATAACAGCAGACTACATTCATATAGCCGTTCATCAGCTTTGGTGACATTAGAGATGACAAGAATAGCAGTGGACTCTTTACTGAGTCGACGCAGTTTTGGGGGACCTTTTTTTTTTGTTTATACTGAACTTCCATCCATGGTAACCATCCTCGAGGCCTATGGCTATTCTAAATCCCCTAGTATTATACAGAGCCCACTCTGGTGAATATGGATCAAACAGTGCAGTTCTATTTCTGACATTGTAATCCCAAACAAGTCTCGCTGTACCTCCACTGGACACGTAGAGCACACTTGGAGGTTCTCGAGTGAACCATTGAATACCTATTGAATATCATGTATTCATATCATCCGCATGAAACA